GCAGCCATTGTCCTATCACATCCCACCTCAAGCTGACACTCGGCTCTGGGACTCTGGGAGGCATATTTTGAATGGCTGCTCGGCGCATGAACTGACAGTGCTGTGCTAGGGGAAGGCTGAGGAGCCTCTCACCTAGAAAAGTGGAAGGCACACGGGGACCCACTGGCCAATAGTCACAGGCAAATAGTCCCACCGCACTCTTGACCGAGAAGCCCCATATAATGTGTGTGTGTGTGTGTGGGGGGGGGTGCTGAAGTGGCCACGGATGTCGCTTTTTTTTCAAACCTTGGTGTGTCTGCTAGATAAAGTCTTATAATTTGAGGAAGCTGAACCCCCCCCAGGGAAAAAAATTATCTACGGCCCTGTCCTGTTTTGTGGGTAAGTGTGCCAGGGCACTGTTGAATTCGTGCTCATCTGGGTCTTCATCTGAAGAAGTGGGCATCTGTCTGGAAGATGCACGGGAATTGGGTGGCCGCGATGTAGCAGGGGCTGGAGAGCCAGAAGCGGATGGTTCAGAGCGTGCGGCTGCCATATTACCTCCTCGCCGCCGCTTCTGTGAATGCCGGGGGCCCTGAAAAAAAGTCCCAATATCTGGTTTGGGCTGTCGGGCCGGTGTCAGTTTGCAGGCCGAGGGATTCTTCTTGCTGGTGGGACTCATAACAAAGCCGATATATGTGCTGAGAGGGCGTTATGAGGTGATGCCTGGCCTGAAGTGTGGGAGCTAGCAAGATGTGCTGCCATCTGCCACCATGAGCAAGCTCTGCCATTTGCACGTGTTTTTGATGCATCTGCATGTGTTTTGGTGCGTTCCAGAAATAGGGCATGCTGCAGTTTTTCCACATGCTCTGGAACTGAACTCTGTGGCGTGAACTAGAGCCCAAAATACCATTGGAATACATTGGATGCATTTTTTATGTAACTGCTCTTCTCTGCATCGTCTCCACATTTGGTGTGCACAAGCCCTCAAGGAGCACTCTACTAGCTCTGTTAATCCTTCTTGGGCTTTTTAGCATCAGGCATCTGTTTCCCAGCTTTGGAAGGCTGCCATCTGGTCTTTACCATCAGTCCTCAGTGTTTCCCCTGAGGACGTCGGTGGTGACGAAACATGTAGGGGCAGGACTGATGAGGACTGATGGTAAAGAACGAGATACGAAAGACGCCGCAGTAACGGTGTCCCATCAGACAAAGCGTTTGGGGCTGTCTGTTATAGCCGAAAGTTTGGGGTGAGTACGCACTCTATTAGGGGGATGTATTGATCTTAATACAAAGCCCAGGAAAGCACTACTCTACCGAACATTGGAAGGCTCTGCTATTTGGCTTTGAAGCGGAGCTGTATACTACAGAGACTTTATCTGTTTATATATATTTTTTGTTAGCACAATTAATTGTCATTCACAATTATTTTCTTTTGTATTTTTGTTTACCCACCTGAATTTTTTCACGCATATGATTTGTCACTTAATGGTATTAATGCACATGAAGGTGTAAAAAAAGTGAAGAATTTTTAATGTGTATAGACTGATTATTTTTACACACTGAGACACCTAGAAGCACTTGGTTAAAAATCACCTTCTAATCGTACACAGGTTTATTAACTATTACAGTGCCGTGTTTTTTTATTGATTAACGGCACTTGCATTGATGTGTTTTTTTATGATTTGTAGTTCACAAACACGACTATATGGTTTTTGATTCACCTACTAGCGCTGTTAATTTGGTTTATACATTTGACTTTAGAGGGTGGTTGAACATGTAAACATAATCGGACCATAACCGCTCACAAGAATAGTGATATCACTGAGTTTACACTATAGTTTCACTAGATTCACAACTTGTTGTGCACATTTTCATGTGTTGTGTCTAATCAACAATCACACACTTTCATGTGTTCCTATGTCATCAATAGATCCTAGAACCCCTGTTAATTGAAATAATTAGCAATACCGATCAACACCATGTAAAGCAATAGGCAATATGTGTACATGCAATTTTGAGCATTACTTGCTGTAGAAGCACAGGGGGGCACTATTTCTCACCCAAAAGTACGGAATGTGACTGGTGCTGGGAGCTCTTCTACAAAGGGAGATTTTAGCAAATGGGCTGTCAGACAGGTAAGTTGTTTTTTGTTGTTGTTTTTTTTAAGAGTACTGCTGTTGTAATTTAGCTAACCACCTGATAGCATATCTTTAAATCATGTGCATTAAAACACACAGGTGTGCATGCGTCCTAAATGGTACATTTATTAATTGCACTCTAAATGTTACATTTATTAATTGCATCATTATCACAGTTCTGGATTCCTAAATATTTCTTGTGTATCGAATATATGTTTAATATATACAAATGTATGTTACTGTACCTCTAACTTTTTTTAAACATATTTTATCTAGCTGCAGAAGAGAGAGCGATCATGCAGAGCATATGTTCAGGTAAATTTTTTATTTCTACGTTGTGTATGTGTCTAGTTGTCTTTTATAGGTTCGGTCATTTTCAAGTGCTTTTCCAAGCCTAAAACATATTTGCAATACGACATGCAGGTTAATGCTCACTATTTTATTCTGCCAAAAAGACTAATTAGAAGTCTGAATAATTTACTGAAGAGCACTAGTATGGGATGTACAGTGCTAAACAGAAGCAAAACATGCAATTAACGCAGCTCATTCAAACAAAACACTGTGAACACAGTGCAAAATTTGTCTTAAATCATGTGTCTGCTCCAGGCTGCATAAATGCAGCACAAAGAGACAGTTGGTTGCTAATTTTCTATTATCGTTTTATCAACGTATGCAGCCTGGACTCAACTGCATGCTTCCATACTTGCTTGGAAGTATGCAGACATGTAAAATCACCCAAAAAGTTAGGGAGTTGCCTTTGATTCATATCCCCTCACACTGTTTCACCCACCTTCATCATAGATTCACTGTGTGTTTTGTTAGTCTTTGTAGTTACTACCTACTGACATAGGTACTCATTTGTTCTTAAGGTTACCACTGGAAAAAATGCCAGATTTATCTTTCCTTTCATTAGCATTTGCAAGTTAAATTTTTGTTGGCCAGACCAATATATTACTGGCTAGCTGACAACCTTATGATTACCTATGTCAGCACGAGGGTAGTGGACATTTTCTTAGTACATAAGATTTAACATGAACTACTGTCGAGGAAAATGTCCCTTGTCAATAATGGCAAACTGTATTCTAAAACAGGAGCTACTGGACTGAGTAGGCAGAAGACTGGCTGCTCAGTAGGTATGGGTAATGATTCTAATAGTAGTGTTTTCTTGTGATTGTGGTATTTAATAATAATAGAAGTATTATAGAGAAAATATGGACGTTAGCACCGTGAACTGTATTTTTTAAATACATTTTATACATATTAGAATATCATTTAGAATCACACCCATTATGGTCTAACCAGGTTACATAAGGACTCATTCCAACTAGCTTTATTGAGCTGCCTTCGGCAGTGTTGCCCAACGCAGTCCCAACACATAGACAAGGCAAATTGCCTTATGTCTTATTATGTCCTATTGCGCATTGGTGTGCGCTGGAAAAAAAAGTAGTACTTGTTATATTATTGTGTAGTGTATTACAATGTGCTGTAATGCATTGCAACGCACTGACGTACATAGACTTAACTAAAGTGTCAGCCTAAATACATTTTCTTACAAAAAAGGAAAAAAGCAAGCATTGTGATGGGTTTTGCAACACATTGTAGCATGTGTGCACAATGCTCATCAGCCATGTGTATTTTGTGCACCTTAATGCGCGCCTGCTATTGTAAACGAGCCTTAAAACAATGTTAATTGAACTGCTCTCTTGCATTTACTTCTCTGGTTATAATGGTGATCTTTACATACTATATGCTACTAAAAATTTAGTTTTAGATGTTGTGTTCTAATAACGCTAATGAAAGCAGCTTGGTACAACATGAATGTACACATCATTTGAACCTAATGCACACCTTTTGTTATATATTTGGTGAGTTTACCATCTCACATGCATGATAGCAAATCTTTCTTCCTGTTAACACTTTTCAAATAGAACAGGTCATGGTGGTTATGTAAATAGCACTATTTATTTGCAGTATGCGTGACACTAAACTCAGGAGTTAAAACTTAAAATTGCATTCAGGTACCTTAACTATTAACAAAAATGTATCTTATTTACAAAGCCTAACTGAACAAGCTATGCACAGCTGCTCCAAACTCCATCTGCTCCAGTTTTAGTTAATCCACCCCACTGTTTTTAAGAAATATATAGAGATAAAATAGACTGGTTCTGCTTTCTGCTACTCCTGATTGCACAAATTGGATTTAGGCCGGGTTCACACCTGGGCGTTTTACAGCGCGTTCCTACGCGCTGTAAAACGCTCAACATGTGAAAACCAATAATTGCCTATGGGCATGGTTCCCACCTGGGCGTTTTACAGCGCGTAGGAACACGCTGTAAAATGCCCTACGCCCAAAGAAGTACAGGAGCTTCTTTGGGGCGTATTTGCCGCGCGTATCCATCAGGATACGGCCGGATAGCCCGGATACCTCCCCCCCATAAGCCTGTATGAAATCAAATAGCACCAAAACAACCTGTGCGTAGGCTCCATGGGTGGGCTAGTCTTGCTGGAGACCCGAAGCGGGGTTACCAGCTACCTGCTGCTGCTGCAGGACGCCAGCAAAACTCCACTAGAGGGTAATAAAAGCTGCATACTATAGCCGTGCCATCACTCCGTAACATCCGAGGTAGGTTCCAACAAACACCAGAAGAACCTTTAGGTAGGTGGAGAAAAAGGAGGAAGACAAAAGATAAGAGAAAAGGACATACAAGGAGAAGAAAAGAAAAGAGGAGGGGGGCCGCAAGGGGAATCGGGGGGGGCACCTCACCCTGACTGGGCAAATCCTGATCAGAGGGCCAATAAGTTGCGGTCCAGTCCCGTTGGCTGTACATAGTCCAGCCAGGGCGACCATGTTTTCTGAAAAGAGGCATACGAGTTGTGTAGTATAGCCGTAAGCTTCTAGTGTACCATAATACCCATGACCCGTTGCCTGACCTCCGAAATAAGCAATGTGGGCTGCTTCCAGGCTCTGGCAATTGTCTGTCTGGTAGCCAAGAAGATAAAATTAGCTAATTTCCTTTCCCTCATCAGAAGGTACCCAGGAGGGCCTCCCAAGGGCTACTGACAATGGTTGTACCGAGAACTCATCTCAGCAAATTATAGACGCTGATCCACAACCTCTGCACCTTTGGGCACTGCCACCAGATATGAAATAAGTGCCTCTGTCCGCACATCCCTGGAAACAACGGGGTGAAACGGAGGGGGCAAATTTGGAAATCCTGTCCGGGGTCATGTACCATCGGAACATGACCTTGTGGGCGTTTTCCTGGGCCAAAACATTCGGGGAGCATTTCGTCGGCCCGCCGAATGAGGATCAGACCAACAACGGGACTCAAAGGGGGTAAGGGTGCATGGAGAACCAGAGCTGTGCCGAAGAAGTGATGTGACATAACTCTGGAGTTGCAGATATCGGAAGTTCTCTGTAAGAGGAACGTTCCAGTGGGTGTGAAGATGTTGGAAGGATTTAACCCCATCTATAGACAATAGGTCCCTAATGTAAAAGGGGTTCCGGCGGGACTACCACACGAACGCCAATGTGTTCTCATAAGCTGGGGGGAATGAGGGAGTCCCGAATATGCCGGAGATGGGGAGACCTCAGCCCCGCAGTATATTTGACCGAATCCCGCTGCTTCAAACTAAACCGCAAAACGGGGTCCTGGATGGGGGGGCGTGAGGAGGGAGGAGTCCATAACAAGTTATGGATTGGGAGGGGGGCACATTCAACTATATCCATGAGAGCCCATTGGGGCAATGCTGCGGTGGAGTGGAACAGTGTTAGCGGAGCAATCTGGGCTGCTGTGCAATATTTCCCTAAGTGGGGGACACCCAGGCCTCCCTGTCCCCTTTGATGATACAAGACCTGGGCAGCCAAACGGGGCCTACGGGAATGCCATATAAAGCGGAGGATCTTCCTTTGCTCTATACGGAGAATATGGCTGGGAATATGGACAGGGAGGACCCTAAATAGGTAGAGAATCTTGGGAACGTAGGACATCTTTATAGCGTGGATCCTGCCCAACCATGACAAGGACATATTGTGCCAAGAAGTGAGGAGGGCGGACAACTCACGGAAGAGTGGGGGATAGTTTGCGTGGAAGAGTGAGTCGAGCGAGGAGGTAAGTCTAATTCCTAAGTAGGGTAGGGAAGGGGGCCAGGAGAAATTAAAAGTTTGATTGAGCCAATCCAAGGCCACCGGCACTCAGGGATATGTTCAGGGCTTTCGATTTAGTCTCGTTAACCTGTAGGCAGGAAAACGTTTCAAAGTCCGATAGCGTACGGAATAAATTGGGAAGAGAGATATTGGGAGGATAGGGCTAACAGGATATCATCCGCGTAAAGCGAGATTTTGTGAGGGGTATCCGCCAGTTCTAATCCCTGTATGGAAGCATTTTTCCGAATGGCAGCCGCTAATGGTTCAAGAGCCAATATGAAAAGAATGGGGGATAAGGGGCATCCCTGCCTAGTGCCCCGCAGTATAGGGAAAGCGGCCGAGCTGAAACCTGCATAGCGAATGGAGGCCGAGGGTTGGGAGTATAACGCAGATATCCAAGCTAAAAAGTCATCACCAAAACCCCATTTGCGCAAGGCAAAAAACAGATACTGCCATGACAAGGTGTCAAATGCTTTGCGCACGTCCAGGGAGAGTAGCATCATTTCTATAGACCGGGAACGAGCTAGGTGTATAAGTTTAAGAACTCGGCGCACACTGTCTCCCGCCTGCCTACTGGGTACAAAACCCACCTGGTCCTTGTGGATGAGGTGCCCCAGAAAAGTATTAATTCTAGAGGCCAAGACTTTAGCCAGGAGTTTCACGTCGGTGTTGAGTAACGAGATGGGTCTAAAACTAGCCCGAGAGTGTGGATCCGTTGTAGGCTTGGGTATCATGACTATATTCGCTTTAAGGGCTTCGGGAGGAAACGGATGTCCCTGCTTAATGTAGTTAAATTGGGAAGTCAGGTGGGGGGCTACAATGTCTGCAAATTTTTTATAAAAAAGGGAAGAGTAACCATCTGGTCCAGCACGTTTTGTAGATTTCAACGATTTAATCGCTAAGCGCACCTCGTCTTCAGTGATATCAAAGGCCAAAAGCTCCTTTTGTGGGTCCGTCATCGCTGGCAACTGACAGTTTTGGAAAAATGTCTCCGCCTCGGCCTAGGGTGAGTACCAGTTTTAAATACTACAAAGGGGGCAGCAAAGGAAAATTTATCATTAGTGTTCTGAGCATCTTTTGTAATGTATCGAAAGTTTATTTGTAAGACAAATAATAAAAAAAATTATTTAGAGATTGAAATGAAACGCCGAGCATTTTAAAAAGTCAT